CCATTCCGGGGGAGGTACATGCTCCCCGCTTTGTCAGCCGACAGGTGCTAATGTGCTAAATAAACCACCTAAGACTGGTATAAATTACTCCGGAGCTGTTGCCAGGATACATACACTACTTGCATACACAAGATAAAGTCCCTGGATTTATAGTATCTAGATGATTCATTTCTGAAGGGCAGTTGAAGGAAATAAAAGCAAATGGCCCACGTGGCTGCTGCGGGCAAAAACATTTTTATGCTGGGCAGCACTTACCTGGTACAAATTCATGTAGATTTGGTAAATGGCCTTTGAACAAGCTACTTGTCGGGCCAGGTTTCAGGAGAAAAAAATAACAGTGTGTCAGAGAATTTTAGTCTAAAGAAGAAAAGAAAACCACATTTGAACAGAAATACCCATATAGACTTACGTCTTACCTGTCTTATTTCAGGCAATATGTTGAAAGAAGAGGGTTCTCCTGGAATTTCTGTAAAATATAGATTAAGTTGACCATATGGTGGCTGGCACACGGGCATTTTTGTAAGATACATGGATATGTTTATTTTGTTAAACTCAGTAAATATCTCTTCATACCTTTTTCAGGTTCACTACTGTTAGAATCGAAGATAAATCCAAATACTGCATATCAAAAACAGCAGGCAAGTATTACTGCTAGGCGTTATTGTTTCTGATTATTAATGCTGAGGAATTGTTTTATGCTCCAAGTAATTGCATTTTTCAGAAAAGAAGGCAGGCAGCAGGACGTGGAATTGTTGATGGTGTTTCACATAGAGGCAAATAACTTGCTTAAAAGCCTGAAGGTGCTATAATACTTCACATTCCATAATTTAAAATGCAGGTCTCCTAAAAAAAACTCTCTTGAACTTAAGGCTTTGAAGAGCATATATGCAATTTGGATAAATATTGAACACATTATAGGAAAATAGTTAGAAATATGTACGTGTAACTTCAGTTTCCCATCCCAGGCCATATAAAATAATTGCTGAATTAGGAAGGCAAAACTTTGGCCAGCTCTGTTACAGCGTATTTACTTCTTGAGGTCTTTTTCTGGAAATACCACAAAGGAATTTGTCTTTGTGGGACTTCTTTTATCATTGCTGTTCATTTTTTGTTTTAAGCCTTGAAAACTTCTACTATCCTGACTGACTAGCCATGTTGACACTTCCTTGCACGCTTGCCTTTCCTGGGGGTAAGCCATCTGCAAAACAAAGAAAGAAAACAGTTGGGAGCTGTGTTAATAGGTCATTTTTGTTCAACCCACTAAAAAATTAGCTTATTAAATCTCTTCTGCTTTTATTGCTTTTGCTTTTCTCTGCATTAATTTTTGGTGTGTTCGCCTACGTTGTTCTCGTGGCTATTAGTGGGTTTTTTCTGTCTGTTCCTTTGTTCTACAGTAGATTCTCTGTTCCTTTTGTTCAGTGTTTTATACTGCTCTTCATTATTACGGTATCCAGAAGTGTTTGAGCACTACAAAACAGTCACTTTGTTCTTCCTAAATCATGAAGAGACACATTTTTAAGGATTTTGTTTGTTTTGGTGACAAGTTACGTTATGATAATCTGAGGAAAGAGATTTTTGTTAGCTCCTGAGCACAGGTTGGCTCACTTGAGGTTAGGAGCGAGTCAGAGTCTTGGGCCTGGCTTTTCAGAAGACTGTTTTCTGTGTTTTCCAGTTTTTACTTGTTAGATATGGGTGGTTTTAGTCAGGTGGGTGACAGCCATAGGCTTTCCTGGGGCGGGTCACACTGAGGAAGGTCTTCATGGAACTCTGCAGGGTTGTGAAAGTCAAGGGCCTTGAACTGCTTCCTGTTCAGTAGAGGAATCTGATACACAATGAAATACGAACGCAGATTATGTTGCTGTAAAATTTTAAAATGCTTCCTTTTGCAGTCTGTTTTCTGAAACTTCATACAACTGATTATTTGAAAGCCTTGGTAGCAAAGTTTCAAGTGACTTCAGTAGCTTTTGTTGTTTTTCTTGTGGAAGTCTTTGTAGGTTGTAGTTCTGAAAAACTCGGGCTGAGGTTAATTTTGGTTGGCTTCTATTATTGAGTCTAATGCTTTTGTGTCCTTATGGCTGAAAGTGTTTGCTTCACTATTTACTCTTTTGAAAAAGTTCAGATTTGGGGCTTTTTTTCTGAAGAGGAATAACGATCGGTGATTTCTAGAGACAGGTTCTAGGTTTGTCTAACCTCTGAAATTATACAGGCTTTAGTTGACAGAACTTTGACTTCAAGTTTTATGTGCTTCCTTCTGAGCAGAGTAGCAGAAAGCAGACCTTCAGGTAGCATTCCCATGCCTTTCTCAGTTTGTGAGATTTGAGTCTCTTTGCCAAAAGATTGTAGTATTCAAACCTGGGCGTTTCAGGAACAGATCATTTTTTAAGATGGTGGAAAGATGTAGGCAGAATGTTTTGGTCAACCAGAGATGGAGAGGTGGTTTTTCCTCAGTGTCCCTGATTGAATGCTGAAGTCTCTTAAGTAGGTAGCCTGAGGACTCAAAGGCTGTAGTGATCTGCCCAGGGCAGATGCTTGTAGGCCAGTGGCAGCATGGAGGAGAGAGCTCTTCCACGTGCCAGAGTTCAACTGCAGATTTTCATTAAGGTGCTGATCATCTTGAGTTTGGGGAAAGCTGCAAGGTAGTGCAGCTTGATGGGAGAGAAACATGCCTTGCCTACCCACCTGACTTCATAAAATTACGTCAATGGCCTTACAGGATAGTTACTGCTTAAATTGTGATTTGCATAACAACATTCTGTGGAAAAAAAAAAAAAAACCAACTGATTTTTTAGTTGCTGTGCATCAGTCTGTGGTTCTCAGTATTACAGTTTGTGTGACGTAGAGCTATAACTGTTGACTAACAGCCCTGTTACCTGCCTTCCCTAATCGTGTTTGTGGTCACCAGCTTTTGTGCAGAATTTGATTCTGTTGAGGTGTTGGCCATACCACAATCATGACTTCTTTCTCAAGAGAAATAGGGCTTGGATTGGACATAGGTGCCAGGCTACTCAACACACACAAGAATCTTTAGTTGCACGTATGCAGAGAACAGGAATGCCTGAAGAGCTGTTGAGCCCCCTGGATTCTGGGGCAGAGGTTTTGAGAATTACACAGCTGGGCTAGACACCCCGTGCTGGCCGAAGGGCAGGGTTGCCTGTGTTCTGGGAGGCTCTAGCAGGAGCAGTTTAAAAAGCTGTTACCACACCCATTTGTTGTTCCACCCTCTGCTTGAGGTTACTGTTCCCTGGCAAAACTGGCAGAAGAGCGTGTCTGCAGTGAGAAATCAGATGGATCCCTTGGCGTGCTTTGTTTCTCCAGCTCAGTTAGGAGGGCAGGAATTTTCGGTTGCCTGGCTGTAAGACTTCAGACTGTTGCAGCCATCGTTTTTGTGAACGCTGCCTTCTGATGTTAACTCCTTTAGGTTTGCTCTATCTGTTTTCAGATCTGAGAGGAAGAGCCTGTGCAAATACTGTCTTTTGCCCAGAGTTGCCATCGCTCATGTGACAATAGAGCAGTTTGCTCGAGGCAAAATCGGAGTTACTTGAGGCCAGGATTTAACATCTTTGCAGGGGCACTGTTAAAGCCAGCCTGAGCAGTTGCCAGGGGGCTTCTTCACTCCTCTTTCATGCCAGCGTGAGTATTCCTTCGTGTTACTGTGTGACAGGTTAGATGGAGGAACCGATTCAGTTGAAATACCTCTTTTTGGTAGATTGATGCTGGCATCTCAGGGGTTGAGGGGCCAGTGCAGGCACAAGGAGAGGTGGAGTGGCAGACGTTGTGCAAAGCAGTACCAACACCGAAGAGGGGTTTGAACTACTCCCCTAGTTTAAATTGTTGTTCTGAATTAATCTCTTTTTTTGTATTTGTTTTGAGTGAATTAAGGAATGTTGCTGTTGCTGGTTGAAAGAGCAGCGTCGCAGGTGCTCAGCTGAGCGGGTGGAAGTGGTGGTCACTCCCTAGGCCTGGAAGGTTCCTGCCTGGGGTCTTCGTGGGTTGATTTAGGTCACGCAGGAAGCGTACATCAGATGAGATTTTACATTGATATTGGACAATTATTTTCTGATGAAACTTTCTTTCAGAAATATTTTTGGATAAACTTACATAATATCTGCTTTGTGTGGGCAGTACAGATTGTAACGAGTACCATTCAGTAACTCAAGAATTCCACCAAATTTTTGAGTGCAGTCTCTATGGATGCATGCAGTCATTTAAGTTACTTCATTGCATCTCTTATTTGAATCATTCTGGGCTATGAATAGGACTTCTTCATGTATGTGTCCCTCAGAGTCTCAGCTTACCTGGAAGCATATTGATTTGGAGTGTCAGGATCAGTAATTTCACAGAATATTTCATGATAAACATTTCACATTTTGAGTTCTGGAACAGCCATAAAATTATACTTGGGCCTTTTTTTTGTTTTGTTTATTAATCTCTAAGAGAGCCAGATCAGGGAACTGATGAGACTTTTCACTGCTACAGTTGACAGTTATTATTTTTTATCTTGAATCCCAGTTCAACTGCTCACTCTAAAATGGCACACTGTAAACACATAGATTCAGCTGTCCCTGAGCCGGAGATGAGGGTGGACAGCTGTAAGCAAAAACCATGTCAGCTATATGAAGCTGTACCATTTGCTCACATGAATCGGAGCCCAAAAGCAGGGAGGCTACCTATTAATATTTGTGACTGTAGGACAAAAGTACAAGAATAATACAGGACACCGCAGTGTAAATAAACGACTCTCGTGGACAGCATTAAAACCATAGTGCGGTGAGCTCAGTTCTTACCAGAACAGGAAAACTTTGTTTCTGTAAAGGGATATGTAAGAATGAGAAAGGAAAAAAAAAAAAAAAAATTAAGCTTGTGCAAATGCTGTTGTTTTTAGTGTGGCCTGCGATTATGTTTTGGAAGACAGAAGCTGATCTGTTGGTAGGCATTTGTCAACAGTGCTGCTGTAAGAATAAGATGATATGGTAAACTTTTTTTTTTTTAAAAAGCAAAGAAAAGGCAAAGGCAAAACCCCCCAAAACACAGTCTACATTTGGATATTGAGAGATTAAGTTTACTGTAAAAATGAACCAAAGAATTACTGCTGTCTCAGCAGTGCTGATTTTCTTTCATGTTCCAGAGTGATGATTGTAGCAGCGGCTAAGTTGCGTGTGTTGCGAGACAGACGTGTTTTTCAGATAGCTGTGCTGATGGGAGAGTTTACCTACTGTCCCATGCCAGGTGCCTGTCAGCAGTCCTCCCCCAAACGTTAGGCCCCTCACTTATGCTGCTGGAAATACTTGTGCTCCCTGACCTGTTTATGCCCAGATAACTGCATTAACAAAGGTCTGTTTAAACCACCTAAACTAACCTGGTTTTGGTGAACATTAAGGAATCCTGACTGACAGTGGGTTCAAGAGTAATGATGATCACTTGGTGTTGATTTTGAGTTTGTCTCTCTGTCCTTGGTGGATAGATGAAGGATGGTGACTGGATAGTTGCATGATACCATGTTGTGGATTGGCCTTTAAGCACAGGGAACACCTTACAGCTAGTGATCAATCAGCTTCATCATTTCCTGTCATTTGGTGCACAAAGGGAACTAATAAGTATTTCTGGGGTAAAGATGTGAGGGGGAGTTGTCGTTTGAGCTCAGAGGGCAACTGAGTATCACACAGCCGTTCAGTCCCCCTTTCCTCTCTCAATGCTGAGAAGGAGAAAATAAAGCAAGGAATTGTTGGTTTGAGCTCAAAGGGCAACTGAGCACCATGCAGCTGCCCATTCCCTCCTTCCCACCAGTACTGGGAAGGAGAAAGTAAAGGCTCAGGAACTGAGATAAGGACAGCGAGGGATGACTCCTCCATCATGGTGACAGGCAAAAGACAGACTTGTTAGGGGAAGTAAAAAGAACATCAATTTAATACAGATAGTAACGACAACAACACTTAACAGACAGAGTAGGACTGTGAGAAGCATCACCACATCTTGAAAACACCTTTCCCCATCTGTCCTTTCCCAGGCTCAGCTTTTGCTCTTGATACCTCTTCCTTCTTCCCCCCAGTGGCGCAGGGGCAGGGGAATGGGGTGTGCAGTCAGTCCTGCTGCTTCTTCCACCCTCCCATGGGTGCGTGGGTCACCCCCCCATGTTGCAGTCCTCCAGGTGCCTAACTGCAGCAACGGGAGCTTCTTCCCAATGGGTCCCAGCCTTCTTCGGGCACAGCTCTGGGCCCCCCCCAGGCCATAAATCAGGATCTGCTCCCCTGGTGACCTCCATGAGTGGCAGGGAGGTGGCCCTGCCATCTCACCACAGGGTACAGGGGGGTGTCTGTCCCGGCTCACCTACCCCCCTTCTTCCACTGACCTCAGTGTTTTCACAGATGTTCTCCTCACAACTCCTCCTCACAACGCCCCCGGTCCCTCCAGGTTCCCCTCCTATAACTGTGTTATCAGAGTTATAGGAGGCATCAGGCACAGCTAACTGACCTGGCCCTGGTGCAAAGGTGGGTCTGACTTGGAGCCAGGGGAGCTTGGAGAAGCTTCTCAGAGGGGGCCACTGTTGTAGCCCCCTCCCCTGCTACCAAAAACCTTGCCACTCAATCATACTGGGACAGTGGACAATGGTGGCATCTGTTTCTTGTTGCCTCTGAAGTTTTCCTAAGGTGTATCAGGTATTTATAAGCTGGTCAGATATTTGTTTGGGTTTGGTTGCTAAGCTTCAAGATAGCACTTGGAATATTTTGCTTACAATAAAAATGATGCATAAAGACAAGACTTACAAGCCTTGTTAGGTTGTGCAGTGAATATTGACCTTCATAAATGTGGAAATTAAATTGCCTTGTTGACCATTAAGCAAGGGCTTGCTGGTGGTGTTTTTGAAAAAAAAAAAAAAAAAAGGTGTGGTAACACTTCAGGAAGTCAACAAACTTGGAATGTTGAACCGTTTTGCTGTAGGTCATCAAATGTACTGCAAAGTTAGCAGAGTGCCTTCAGTTTGAACATTTTAACATGAAGATGAGTTCCCTTTAGGATGCTGAACTATGTGTTTGACTGTCAAAGCACAGGCTCACATTCCTTACAGTACAGCAGCAAGTGTCCTAATAAAACCTCAGAAAAAAACCCTTTTTGGTCCATTTAGAAATTCCAGGGAATCTCCCAGATACTGCGCAAGTGCACAAATTGAATTGGTAGAGGCAGTAGTTAGTAACAGAGAAAAGAAGAGTTGCACAGGTGAAAATATCTGTTGGCAAGATGTTTGTAACTTTAGTAAGGAGTTCTGTCTTATTCAGGCTCTATGTATTTTAGACATAGACTATTTTAATATAGGTGGGTGGGTTTTTTGCTTTTTAGCAAACATTTAGCAATTTACATTGCTAAAGCTTTATTAAATCCTTTCTGAGGAGGAAACGCTGTCATCTTGGGGTTTTGTTTCTACTTTATTAAATAATAGACTGAAATTGTTACATTGCAGGTTCTCTTAATCTCCTACAATGTGTGCATTCCCTTTTCAATACTGTTGGCTCAGAAGTATGTTACAGAAAAATGCCATTAGAATTGTGTCAGATATAAAAAAAAAAAGTATGTTTAAATATATAATATGTAAGGTAGCCATCATAAAATAGCAAAAAAGAAAAGTCATGTCCCTTATGGCAGCACAGGTGGTTTAATATTTTAGTGTCTTACGTTCTTTCTCAACAAATGTAACTTTAATTATTTTTTCTTTGGACAATGACATAATGGAATGCAGATTTAACAGGCAATGTAGATCTGTTTCAGAAACCTTTTTTTTTTTTTCTTTTTGTCTTAAACAGGACACCCTGATTGTTTGGTCAGAAGCAGAAAACTATGATTTAGCACTGAGTTTTCAAGAAAAAGCTGGCTGTGATGAAATTTGGGAAAAAATCTGCCAGGTACAGTTAACTTTAAATATTCTGTTGCTTCCAGATGTTTGAGTGTCTTCTGTAACTTCCTGTATTTGTGCTGTAATTTTTAAACCTACTTGTAAAATAAGTATATATTTGTCATTCTTTGCTGTGGCTTTCCAGGTGTAACATCTTAAGTTGCCGCTATTTATAACACTCGTTGTTCTCATAATTGAATTTCATGCTTTTGAAAAATCAGTGTAATGATGAAATTCAGGAGCTAGGTGTTTCAGGGGGTGGTTTGTTTTTATTACCAAGGGGAATGCCAGAGTACCACTTTTTAATTGTCCTCCTCCCAGGTGGCCTTAGGAAGCTGCCTTGTTGGAGTGTGGTGGGAATGAAAATGTGGTTTAATCCATAAGGAGCTAGATTGCACTGTGAGAGACAAAGAGGTGGCATTGCTGTCTGAGCTCAAAAATGTCAGGGATTGGGGTTTTTTTTACCAAGACCTAAGTCATACTGACTATTTGTGTCTAACGGTTGTTTTGATCCTCATTGTTTTATTATGAAACAGTTTAGATTTTATACTTTCTGGAAGTGACAAGACGATAGAGTTGTGTCTGTGTGTACTTAACAAAAGAAACCTGGGCTGTCATGTTGGAATTTTATCGTAACCTTCTCAGATTTTGAAATGATGCAACGTAAAGCTGTTAACTAAAGAAACACAGAACTCTGATTTCAAAGCAGGTTCCTCTGAGCAAACTAGGCAATTTAGATGCCGCCTTAATCTTAGCATGGTTTGGGGTATAAAGTCTTCTCGACCAGTTCTGAAGTACCATTATTGAGAAGAACTGATCCTAGTAACTGCAAGTATATGTGTCTAATAAATAGTCCACGGTTTAGATGGGGACTGGGCTGATGACTGCTCTGAGAGGGATGTCTTCATGTGAGCAGACAGTGTAAACCTTAGGCTCTTCCATCAGACTCCAAAACTCTCCCTGCTTCGTCCTTCGAGGCTCTGGGGTAACATTCAACCCTTTGTGAGGGAGTTAACAACAGAGCTGGATCAGTGGGGACAACAAAAAGTGTGGGATGTATGAGGAGACTGGGAAAAGGAGCTAAAGGGTCAGATAAAGTGGAAGGGAAGCACAGAGTGGGACACAATTGCTTCCCTCTTTACTTGTTCACTTCTGGTATTTGTGATGTTTTCCTGCCTTTGTTCTTGGTCTTTTTGTTATGTTTCACTTAACACTGGTATAGCTGTGGCCTCTTACTGTGAGTTTAAGGCATCATACCCTTCTGTTCGAGACACTGAAAGAAGATTTTGTTACAGCCTGTTCTTTTCTTATTTTGTGCTTGTCTCTAAGGTGCTTCAGACTTTTTGACTGCACAGCTGCTGTTATGGTCTGGTTTGGTTTGATTTGATTTTTTGACAAACGCACTCGTGAGGATAATGGTAGTGACTATAGAATTTAGAGGCAGCAAACTTATTCCTCCACACAGCTGGACGTTTTCCAGGCAACTGAAAGTAAAAAAGTGGTTATGCACATGTTATTTTAGTTACTGGCTTGTTTACGTTTATGTATGTTTGAGGATGAGATAGTAATCGTGCACGCTCTTGTCTTAGGTTCAAGGCAAGGATCCTTCAGTGGAAGTCACACAGGACCTTATTGAGTCAGAAGAGGAACACATAGAAGAAATGCCTGAAACGAGTCCTTTGATCGACCTTCCTACTTGTGAACTCAACAAACTTGAAGAGATTGCTGACCTAGTTACCTCTGTTCTCTCCTCACCCATCCGTAGAGAAAAGCTAGCTCTGGCCTTGGAGAATGAAGGCTATATTAAAAAACTATTACAGCTTTTCCAGGTCTGCGAGAATTTAGAGAACACTGAAGGCTTACATCATTTGTATGAAATTATTAGAGGAATTTTGTTCCTCAACAAAGCAACTCTGTTTGAGGTGATGTTTTCTGATGAGTGTATTATGGATGTTGTGGGATGCCTTGAGTATGATCCTTCTTTGGCTCAGCCAAAACGGCACAGGGAGTTCTTGACCAAAACAGCAAAATTTAAGGAGGTTATTCCTATAACAGACTCTGAACTCAGGCAAAAAATCCACCAGACTTACAGGGTACAGTATATTCAGGACATCATCTTGCCAACACCATCTGTTTTTGAAGAGAATTTTCTTTCTACCCTCACTTCCTTTATTTTCTTCAACAAAGTTGAGATTGTCAGTATGTTGCAGGTAAGTGGTTTTTAATATGATATAGATGGATTATACCTTTGTAGTTTCAAAATTGGTTACAGCTCTTTAACACTGTATAAATTAATCATATACACTTTCATTTGAGTAATGTTTTGAATGCTTCCCCTTATTTCTGTTACCTTCTAGTTTGTATTTTTAAGATGGTAGATTTTCAGGTGAGTATATGAATTTTTTTAGTGGGTTGTAAACAGTTAGTTCTTGATTCACAAGCAACATAAACATTTTGAGCTGGTTTTGTACAAGTATTCAGAGAACAAGTGACTTTTTGTATTAGATATGTCTTTATAACAAATCCTGAATCTGTGACTCAGACAAGCATGTTCAGAACCATTCCTGTTATATTACTATTCCTTTATGACAGTAATGTCAAATGTTCATGTTGTATTATAAGTAATTCGCCTTTTTTTTTTTCTTCATACTGTTAACAAGAAGTAATAATTACTAAATAACTGACATTTTGCTCCATCAAAAAACTTACTGCATACTTTGTGGTCAGAAGCAGGATTAAAAGTAGTTTGGTGTGACAACCAGGCTGGACCATGGAAGGAGCCTTGTTAAAGAACTTTGTGTGAACTCCATGACATTTTGGTATTTTCAGTTCATAATATTTTGGTGTGTAAACGGGTACAAAGTGGTTTTATTTTGTTTATGTCCTTAGAAAAACGGTACGTTTGTGTAGAGTACAACATCACAAACCTGTCCGTTCTGAGCGTGGACAGTCTCTGCAAAATAGGAAGATGTATTGAGGAGAAGAGGAGGGTAATTAAAGTTGTGGAAAGAGAGGGGCACTGGAGAAATAACATTACCATAAGGAAGATTTCTAAAGAGTGCAGTAGAGGACTGGAAAAAAAAATTAAAACTAAAGAATTGCAGAGAGTGGCATGAATAAGCTTTTGGGCTGCTTCTTTCTGTTTGAATAGCAGAAAGACACTACAAAGTAACTCCTATTTGCAAAATTAATGACTTTGTGTTAAATAAAGACTTGCCTCTTTTCTTCTTTTGCATCTCTGACTTTGCAAACTAAAAATAAATTCAGTATTGTTCTCCTGAGGGCACAGTTTTGTTTCGAGTTAAGAGATTTTTAACTTTATGAAGTTCTTTTTATTTAGACTTTACTATACTGAATATGTAATTGTGCCCTAAGAGAAGACTCTGATTGCCTGTTACCTCTAGTACTCTTTGAGGAAAGTTCTGAAATCCCCTGACAGAAGGCAGCTACTCTGTCACTGCTGTCTTAGCCATAGAGAAGGGTATATGGCACTTAGGTCTGCCTGCCTGTTTTGAAGACTGTAATTGAGACATGCATGGTGATTTACAAATAATGTTGATACTTGTATCATCTGAGCTGCCTTGAGAATTACAGACTAAGAAGAAAGCACACGTGGAAGAGATGCTACTGATAGCATGCCTGAGGAATATTACAAGATAGTATGGCCCTCAGGTTCAGGACTGTTTTCACAGTCCCCTGGTGTAAATCAGCTTTCTATTGCAGCACAAGAACTCCAAAGCTCCTTGGGGTTTGGTGATGACGTTAGAAGTCTTGTTACCCTAAATACACTGGCTCCCTAGGAGAACACAGTTCATAGGAGTAACAGATTGTGTTTACTGGGCAGTAAAGCTCCTTTCTATGTACCACAAAGCAGTAGGCGCCAGCGTGGCTGTCGATGAAGGGCAGCCGTGTGGGAGACAAACCTACATCCATCCTGGGCTTTAGGACATCAGGACCATGCTCTGCAGCAGCCCTAGACAAGCAGGAGATCTTTCTGTTGCCAGGTGTTCCCGGGTGGGCATTTTCTAGCCTATCTGGTGTTGATTTTGGTGTTTTTGGTTTGGGGAGGTTTTTTATCAGGCTTAATTAAGCTGTTAAATCCAGCAAAGTTTAGAATAAACTATTAAGTCTGTGTGTATTGCAGTCTCTAATGTTGATTCCAGGTATCATTTGTAAAGCTTTACCCCCGTCTTAAATTTTCAGGGGAAAAAAACTGTGGGCATTCCTGTCAGTGTAAAAATCCTGTAGTATGTTAGCCTAATAAAGCACACAGATTTTAGCAACAGCACACAGAAAAGTAGAAAAGTAAGCACCCTCTACACTGCGCCATGTAATGTTCATATCTGTTTCTTGGAATGCTGCTGTTCTGTTCACGTTCAATCAATGCATAAGCCAAATTTATGGAGTTGAATCAGTACAGTGATGCATCGTTTTATAATGCTGTAGCATAATGTTACTGTTTGCTGTAAGATTTATATTGTATTTAAAAGGTAACGGAGATGTTTTATTTGAAAGAATGCCGACGCTATTTTCCATGTGAAGGGAATGCAGAGAAAGCAATGTACAGAGAGGGTGGGAAATGCCTGAACAGTTGGGAGAAGATGATGTTCATCATGGTTTTCTTGTACCTCTTGACTGTTAAGCAATGGTGTACCTGAATTAACATGAAGTGGTGTCCTATATATAAGTAAATCTTTCGTGGTAGTAGAGGATTGCAATAAGAAGAGCAAATAATACTCAAAAAATTTTCCAGATTGGCAAAGCCAAACTTCCTGCAAGCTGGAGAGCTTATTTTTGGAACAGGGTTAACGGGGTCATGGCTGCAGCAAACTTGTAATGTGTTAATGTAGTCACCCTTGCATAGCTGGACTGAAAAAATCCTTGCAACACTGCAGATCCAAAATAGGGTAACTGGTATGTGTGTGTGGTGTTACCAGTGTAGTGTGAACAGCATAGGTGCAGCATGGTGACATTTGTATCTCACATGGCAATTCCTAGTGGAGGTTGTCTGTCTGGAAGGTTACATGTGTGAAGGAGGGAGGAAGCCTGCACCCAAGACCGGCATTTGTCTGTAGTCCTGACTCAAGGGGGTGTGTGGCAAATCATACAGTGAGTGTGTGGGGTAGGGCAGAGCTGCAAACCCCAGGGGGTCGCTGGCAGAGCAGAAAGGGAAGTGCCACATTCCTTGGAGACTAGTCTCTTCGAGGGCAGTTTTGGTGACCATCACCTGTGCTCAGCTTAATGTATGGTTCTGGTCTCCTGAGTCTGCTTCCACTGGGCAGAATGATACTGAAACAATGCACTGGAAATGACATTCCTGAAGGCATGCTCTTGGAATAATTCCCATTTTTGTGATAAAATAATGTAGGTGTAGAGGGGGGAAAAAAAACCCTTATTCACCAAATCTACTAATGCACAGGTTTTTGTCTGTAATTAAGCATCGCAGTTAATCTTAAATTTGACTTTCTACAGTGCGGGATCCAATAAAGACTAATGTTTTACCTTTCAAGAGGCATTGTGTAAGTCATGTTCTTCTTATGTGTTACACAGGAAGATGAGAAATTTTTGTCTGAAGTTTTTGCACAATTAACAGATGAAGCTACAGATGATGACAAACGATGTGAATTGGTAAGTCAGTGGTCTTGATGGTTCTTTGAATGTTTTAAACTGCAGAAATGAAGTAGAAGTATTGAAACTGTTCTGCTAGTTCTGCAGTCACTGAGGTATTTCTGTAACCCTGCAATCATTTTCAGTCTTCATGTATGTACTCAGTAGAAAACTATTTTTTGCAAGGTAAGTTCTGATTTTTCTAAAAAAAATTACTTGTTGAGAAAGTACTAGCACAAAGCTAATGCCCTAGACTTAAAGGTTTACTTTCTTCCAAGCACTCTTCAATATACCTTACCACTTATATGAACACTGCTTTTTTTTTTTTCCCTGTACTTCACTCATTCAAAAAAATCTTTTAAGTCCTGTGACTGAGGATTACCAGTAGTCCCTTAATATATATTACAAACACTGTTTATCCTTGAATGTTTTAATGACTTAAATTGCCTTGGTAAAATCTTGCTTTCAGTAAGGGAGGTGTCTTTATTCTTTCAAACAAAAGGCATGCCAGACAGGAGTATAAATCCTTCATAGGCTAGGGATGATAAAATAGCTGCAAGGTGACTGTGTCTCTTGCTGAGGTAAATTTCAACCTCATAGATTTGGTTGGTTGCTTGCTTTTACTTTCTTTTGCTTTCTTTTGCTGATGTTATTGAAGGTTGGAGAAGAAAGGACTAGAATAATACCCTTTTCTAGGAAGGCACATAGCAACCAGTACACAAACTCTGATACAAATTTTAACAGTTCCCTACTTTCAGAGAGTTTTCTGAATCAAATAAACCTCAAAATATTTTTTTCCTAATAGGTTAACTTTTTCAAGGAATTCTGCGCATTTTCTCAGACGCTACAACCTCAGAACAGAGATGCATTTTTCAAAACTTTGGCAAAGTTAGGAATTCTTCCAGCTCTTGAAATTGTAATGGTAAGTGAAAACTTAAAGCTGATTTTAATAAAATTTTAAAAACTCACAGCCATTTAACCAGTTTTTCGGATCTGCGGAGGACCTTTGTGTAAATTTGATTGGACAGCTTTGCTCTGATGAAAGTTTAAGTTTATTGCAACATTTAGATTCCAAAAGATGTCCACAGTTTTCTGACTTTATTGCTGCTGCTTTATTTTTTTTACTTTGCGTGATGGAGCAGTATATGGTGAATGTAGTCCTTCTGACAATGTAGTGTAAAGATGGAAAGATACTCTTTCATGTGGCAGCTTGGTTGGGTTTTGTTGTTGTTGTTGTTGGAACAGTGCCAAAGAAGTATTTTTAGATAATCTCGAACTGTTAGCTTGTTCCTATCCAAAAGATCACATAATCCTGTCTTTTCAGGGGTATAAAGCAGATTAATCAATTTTAATCAGCAATGTCAAAACATAATTTTTTTCACTCCTCTGGTTGAAGCAGCTGCCTAACTATGGCAATTCATATCTCAGTGCTCAGAAACTGTAAATTCAAGGGGTTTTATATTCTGGAGTAACAACCTGTGAAATTACCAAAGGATGTTGACTGTTACGAAAACATGAAAGTCACATAGATGTTCAGTGATTAGATGAACCCTAATCTTAGTATTCTTTCCCAAGGCTAGACCAGTCCAAAAGCTTCCTGCTATAGTAATATTTTAGGCTTAGAAATTGTAGTATTATCAGAGAAAATCACATACCTTAAGGAAAATCATTAATTCTTGTTGCCTATAAATGAGTACACTAACTTCTGTACAAATTGATTTGTAAAGTTGGTTCTTTTGTAATAAATCAATAAATTGTGGATGCCAGGTACAGGATATTAGTGTCTTAAATATTATAGTGAGTAACATGATAGAAATGTTTCTTGCTGGAATGGGGGGGTTTGTAACTATATTACTGTGTGTCTCAAAAACTTTCATAATAAAATGTTTTCAAATCTTAACTCCCTGTTGTTTGCAGCTTTACTTGATAATGATTAGCAAACTTGATTCGAATAAATTGATTTATTTTTTTATTAGGGAATGGATGATCTGCAAGTTAGATCTGCTGCTACAGATATATTTTCTTATCTAGTAGAATTTAGTCCATCCATGGTCCGAGAATTTGTAATGCAAGAGGCCCAGCAGAGTGACGATGTAAGTAAAAGTGTTTTGGAGTTTGTTAATATACTGGTTTTGGAGCAAGTAAGAGAAGAAAAAGAAAAAAAAAAAAAGAAAAAACAGCAAAACAAGCCTCTCCAGAATTTGGGATACAGTTAGCCTAAAAACATAGATACTTGAAACATAGGAAAAAGTAGATTTAAGATACAGAAATTTCTGAGCATGTTGGTGTTCCATGTGGTTATAGTAATATTGTAGGTCTGCCCAACAGTGAGTACAGGTGGGGAGGGTTGTGCTTGACAAAACTCTAGTGTCTGAACTCAATTTTTGTGTTTAGCTTTAAATTAAAAAAAAAAAAAAAAGCTAATACAGAAACTAGGGAAATCATTCTGCTGTTGAACCTGTCTAAAGATTTTGTGGTTGGTTGGTTTGTTTGTTTGGGGTTTTTTTGCAGGATATCCTTCTCATCAATGTGGTCATTGAGCAGATGATCTGCGACACTGATCCTGAACTTGGAGGAGCCGTTCAGTTAATGGGGCTTTTGCGTACTCTGATAGATCCAGAGAATATGTTGGCCACAGCTAATGTAAGAAAATACAAAGGGGTAAAGACACTTTACTGTCTCAGCAAAAATAAAAACCTGATATTCTGTATTACTGTGCTTGTGGTCAGAGGATAGAAAAAAGTTTTGGGGTTTTTTGAGTGTTGTGTGTGGTCTGATAGTGAATTTAAACCAGCTAAAAATATGAAGCTACAATTTCCATTAACGTTTGATAATAAACAGAGAGTGTGTGTGTGTGTGGCACTGTGCAGGAATTTATTAAACCAAGCAGTCCCGTGCTTCAGTGAAATAGCACTAGTCTGGTCATAACTCCTGCCAGCTGGATGAGAAATACTGAAAGAGGAAAGTCCAGCAGAGCCTGTGTGAAACCACGTCAGTGTTTTAATACCAGTGGCACAGCAAAGATGCAACTTCACTGAACTAGGGCCATACTAAAGGTCTAATTTATATTCTTGAATTCTAAATTGTACATGTGTGTTGAGGTGTCAAAGTAAGAATAGGAAGTTTGTGGAAATTAGCTTTAAAACTTGGGTCATTCCTTTCTTTAGCTGTTGATATTCTGAATCCCAAGCAAAGCACAATGTGTATGTAATTTAATGCATACTCCATGTAAGAAAACACACTGTAATTCACTCCTATATTAATACACATGTATAGAATGTAGTCAAATGGACCAGACAATACTTTTGCCTCAGTGTGAAAAGGTTTGCAGGTTGCTATGGGTAAAGTAACTACATTTAAGAATGGTTTAAGCAAATTTGCTCAAGCACTTGGAGTCATTGATGCATTTTCAGCATATATTTGCATCCGTGGGGTGGATTTTTTTGGTGATAGCTAGGTTGGTTTGATGTCTCACCATTCTTTTCCCAACATATAAAGAACTACATCTTTTTTTTGAGTGAAGACAATGTTGCAGGCCCAACCAGAAAGATAGAGGCAGACCCGGAGGAGTCGGTAGCATTCTTTGCAGGCTGTTTCTTATGTTACTATTCTTGCTAATTTAAAAGGTTATAGGCACATGCCCATTTCTAATAAAGCTGTCTTTGTTTTAGAAAACAGAAAAAAGTGAATTTCTCAATTTCTTCTACAACCATTGTATGCATGTTCTTACTGCACCACTTCTGGCTAATACATCAGAAGATAAATGTGAAAAAGGTAATGTTAATTTTTTTTTTTTTACCCCTCTTTGTGACTTACAATCCTGGTAACAGTGCTAAGCCTGTGATGCAACTTGAAATATGCTTGCTGAAAACTTTTTCCCCCAGTGAGGGGGGTTTTGTGGGCAGAAGTTTTAATAGCTCTTTCTTGCAGCTTTGAATGATAACATGTCTTTATGCTGTGTTTTGTAAAATAGGTGTCTCGATGTGTACTGTATATCATATACTAGTTTTACTTGTCTAATTTTAAAGACTATTTGCTGTAAAGCAGAGAGTGTCTTTTGTTTATAGGTACATTTTTTCTAAAAGTTTCCAAAAATGCTGTGACAGTCATCAGTGGTTACATGATTCCAAGACATTGAGTGTGCTCAGGTCATTACCTCTGAAGACTATTTGTCACTTGGCTGTAGTATAGAAATGCCAGAAGAAATCTCTCCAAAGAAATACAACTTAGAACTCCTTTATGTTGTTTCTTTTTTAATTTTTCCTCATGACAGTAAAAGAATTGGAAGTCTGTTTGTTGCACACAAATAACACTCGGTATTTTGCCTCTAGTGCTTTACAGACAGAAATTTTAACATCATCATAGCCTCTGGAGTCAGACTTTTTTCTGAGTGCTCTTCCAAGAGATTAAATCAAACCAATACATATTTGTTAAAAACATTTAATGCATCTTAAGTCAAAAAAGTTTTATGCATTTGATATAAAAATATAAAGCCTGTAGAATGTCTGTAGTACTCATAATATTATTTGAAAAATTTTAATAGGCACGTTATTTTAGTCTAGATAGGAATACTATTCATAAGTATTAGATTACATTTTTTCACCTAGTTCAATTTGAAACTTTGCAATGTAAAATTGAATACAGAAATCTCATCTGGCCTGTATTCTTATTCTTGCTCTATGTTTATTTCCATGTAGCTTGCAGAAACTTTGAATTTGATGAAAAATTCAAACAGCTGGTAGAACTGGTTGTTTATCACCATCTTTTAAATATTTACAGTACTTTGAAAACCTTTTTCTGACCTCTGTTTTTATTTTCTGTTCATCAGATGCAGTAGTTGGGTCCACTAAGAGTAATACAATTTGTCCTGGTGAGTTTTAATTGACTTAGTTTAATTGAAAAGTTTTGAAACTTATCTTCTATGCTGTGTATGGTGGTTTTATTTCACAAAAAAGCAAGTTAGATATGTCCATAGTTTATTCTTTTTCATACTTTTTGTTGAAATCGAGGTAGGTGCTTTGCTTCAGTAGAGACAACAAGAAACTGAAAGAACATTTTCATTTGCTTTTGAGTTACTGGCTTTTGCTTTTTTTCCTAGTCCACCTGCTACTGAAAGTTTAAGTCATTGTTAGCAGAATATGTACTGAAGAGACATAGCTGAGCTCTTACAGTTTGGATTTTTATCTGTCCAGGCTTCCTTTCTGAGCATTATGAAAAGACATTGCTAATTAGGTTCAGGTGTATACAGATCTGGCTGCTTTCTTTAACTACCTACTGTTAGTCTGGATTGCTGTAACCAGTAGCTCACTGTCCTGGAGGAAGTCCTGCTGTCAGTTCAGGGTGATTTTTGTGACTGAAAAAAACCCCCAAACTTGCATTTGTTGTTTCGTTCTGACCCAACGTCCTGCTTCCTAGACCAGTCCAGTGTGACAACTAAAGACGTGTCAGGAACTGTAAAGGCCACTGAGCTTGGTGATGATTTGGTGTGTGAAAGTGTTTGGGGGGGGGTTTTGTGTAACTTAAGGCATTAACTTTTCTTGTAGATAATTATCAAACGGCACAACTACTCGCCTTAATTTTGGAGCTGCTTACTTTTTGTGTGGAACACCACACGTATCACATCAAGAATTACATTATGAACAAAGATTTGTTAAGGAGAGTACTGGTCTTGATGAATTCAAAACACACGTTTCTGGCATTGTGTGAGTATCAAGCTGCTGTGATTTCCTTTGAGGCTTTGTATGTACTGTGCAGAATGTTGATGAGGACAAGAGTATATTTAATGCAAAATTCATGTTTATTTCTTGTTTATTACTGAATAGCTGTTTAGTAATTTTGAAAAACGGTAGCAGATATCTGTTTGCATAGGCCAGCGCAGATTTCTGCGGGAGAACTGCTGCATCTTTTGAAGTCCACAGTGATCCTTTAAAATCTTTATGAAATAGGGATCATTTGTGATCAGCTGTCTTACCTCATTTAAACAGAAATACTGTCATATCTTAATAACGTCATAAAATCTACTGCTCCTTGTGGAGAGTGAATGAAAGTTTGTGAACCATGGCATTGGGAGAATTAGGGGCTGGTTCTGGGAGGTGAACACAGAAAAGCACAGGAACGAGCCAATAATGTGACTTCACCTGCGCTGAAGCTTATTGCTGCTGTATTTCAAAAGAAATTAATGGACCCCGATCACATTTACATACCCAGGAAAGTCAAAGAATGGAAAAAAAGTTACCCATCAGCAGATGTTTCTTCTGAACTTTCAGAAAGTGCTTCTTAATGCTCTGGATTTGGGGGTGCATCTTCCTCTCAGTAATATCATGTTTTTTCAGCTCTTTCCCAGAGTAGCAGATGGGAGCCCTGGCATGTCATTATTAAATTCTTTAATTTCTTTCTTGATATAGGTGCTCTTCGCTTTATGAGGAGGATAATTGGCCTAAAAGATGAATTTTATAACCGTTATATCACCAAGGGAAACCTTTTTGAACCAGTTATAAATGCTCTGCTGGATAATGGAACTAGGTACAATCTGCTGAACTCTGCTGTGATTGAGCTGTTTGAATTCATCAGAGTGGTAAGTTAAGCAGCTCATCCTTTGTTGCACGTACGTGGCATCTCAGGTAGAAATGCGAAACGCCAACCTTGCACATGAAACAGCGTGTTAACAACTTAAAATCACGTAGATAAACACCCAACCAGAAGGAGTTGGCAAGCTGCTACATGCCTCTTTTATTTAACTGTCCCATTTTAGAGTATGTGTAGGTCCTGTTTCCATACAAATCCATATAAAAGGGTCCTGTAGATGAAATTCTTCTTAGTGGTTGAATGCGTTGTTTCTGAATAAATCTGGGTGTTATTGGATCTAAATGAGACTAATTTGGCTATAAAGTTGATGGATTGTTGCCATTTCAAATCCTACACGCATGCTTCCTTAGCCAGTGTCAGCTGTGAATCAGCAGCTTTTCCCCTGGCAGTGTTTGTGGGAACAAGGTGTCTGTGGACGGGACAGACAGGACAGGCAGGAGCACCCGGCCAGTTGTGCTGCCAGAGTAGGAAACAAGGACTTGAAACAGCTCCCGAGCTACTTGCTGCCAATAGTGTGGGGGAGTCTGCTCAGGGAATCCTTGTGGTCTGTGAAAACAAAAGGACGGGTTTGAGTTACAGGCTGTGGGAGCTGCTGATTTTTCCCACAAGAAGAAAATGCATTCTGCCTCCAGGTGACTCTTGCCAGCATGGTATGAAAGCTAAGATGTGCCTGATAGGGTGAGAGTCCTTAGAGGGTGGCTGACCAAAAGGTGCCTCATCCCCTGTGCTGCTGGAGTTCTGGAGGGCTGTGGGGGGAGCAGGGCACAGCTCAAGGCCTGTTTTTCTTGACAAGGCTTAATCCCAGATAGCCAGTACCATGGTTTAGTCCAACTATCCCAAATAGAATTGGGACAAGACTGAGCATATGGTCTATTTGTATGGAAAATTTAATCATTAATTCTAGCTTTCAGCTTTTTTATTGAGAAAAGTTCTGATTACTTCACATGTGTTCTTTACAATGATGTTTTGACTCTGGACAATGAATCCGTTACCTTTAAAACTAAACTGTGAAGCTTTCTGAACCTTCTGCATGTTCACGCTTGAGACTGAAAGCCTGTTTTCTTCTTATGCAGGAAGATATTAAGTCCCTTATTGCACATATAGTTGAAAACTTTTATAATGCACTTGAATCTATTGAATACGTTCAGACATTCAAGGGACTGAAGACAAAATATGAACAAGAAAAAGACCGACAAAACCAGAAACTGAACAGGTACAGCCCAGTTGATGTATTCTGAGACTCTTACAGAATGCCCTTTTAGGTCTCTTCCTGCTGCTGGTTGGGTTTTTTCTTCCTAGAGGGCAGAAGCAGCAGAAGGCTGGGACTGGGGTGGTTTTTCCTTCTTGATGAAAACTTCTTTAATTAGAATAAACCCCCATCTGACTTTCCTTGTGGCTTACTGTAGTACTGTTCATGCCTGTCAGTATATTAAATGCTACATTCAGAAAATTCTTTGTTTAGGAAGAGCAGAATCTTCTTGTGTCCTGTAGAGTTTGGGTTGAGTGTGCCCTGTTGTCAGCTGGGGTTTTGAAGGAGCTTACGCTAGTGGTAGGAGGAGGGAGGGAGCTGGACTTGCCTTCTCAAACGTGTGGAATTCACTCTGGAGTGTCTGAAGGTGTTGCTGCTCCTGGCCCAGTGTGAAACAGCAGGCCAAACTTGAACCCTTGTCGTGTGTCTCTTACAGTGTTCCATCTATATTGCGTAGCAATAGATTTCGCAGAGATGCACGAGCCTTAGAGGAGGATGAAGAAATGTGGTTCAATGAAGATGAAGAGGAAGAAGGGGAAGCTGTTGTACCTCCGGTTGAGAAGTCGAAACAGGAGGATGATTTTCCAGATAGCTATGAAAAATTTATGGAAACTAAAAAAGGTATAAACTCACTTTTCAGCTTGTCAGCCCTGGGAGTGCTGGGTGGCAGATAACATGGAGTATCATCTAAACAAGCTAATTGTCCTGTGCTCTGTATTGTAAGCAGGAGCCAGGGTATTCCATGTAATTAAGGCATGAATTCCTAACATGTCTTTGCAAGCTAGTTTAGGATTAAAATGACTTAAATTGCTCCAGGCGTACACCTAGTTTAAATGAAACTCAAAGGAAAACTTGGTGTGTACTTGTGTGCGCTGAGTGAGTGATGTCCCCCTGCCTGCAGTGCCTGGGCCAGTCTCTGTGGGAGTGTTGGCTGCTTTGGGTGTGGATTTAAACTGAGCTTGTTAAAAAAGGCAGCTTTTACCCTGTGATGATGTTGTGATGTGGATTGTGCTCGGTGTGGTGTACAGCTGATACTTAAGTATGAAAATATTTGTCCTTCAGCAAAGGAGAGTGAAGACAAAGAGAATCTTCCAAAAAGGACTTCAGCTGGGGGATTCAAATTCACTTTTTCCCACTCAGCCAGCGCAGCCAATGGTGCAAACGGTGCAAACGGTAAATCCGTGGCAGCTCAGACATCACCAGCAAGCTCCAATGGCTCCTCCTCAAAGAACACGACCCTGAGCACGGCTGTGACGGCCGCCAAGGTGGGAGAATTCTTACAGAAGGTGCTGCCCTCACTGAGGGCGCTGCGAGGCTCTGCCGTCTCTTAGCTTTAGCATCGAGGCAGGGCTTGCTTCTCTAGAAATTCAGCCAAAGCCTGGCCTAGTTAAACGTTTACTAGTTTGGGGGAAGGCTTAAGGAGGTGTTAGGTGGGACTGGAGCCTCGGTAACCTGGTGGGTACTTTTAATTTTGCATCTTCTGCCTCGTTGAGCTGCTCCCACTCCACAGCTTTCACTGTCTGGTTGCTGCTCTGTGTGGGTGGCATCTGAGATGGGTTTTCTTCGAAATTGTGTTAGTGCCCCCTCCTGTGGGGGAATTAATAAGTGTTTTTAAGTTGATGAAGTAAGTGATAACTCTGAGGCCAGACCCAGAGGAGCAAGGAAGTTCCTATACTTTTTTTAACCCTGAGATTCAAAAACATTCTCAAGACAAAATGGGCCTTGGAATAAAAAGGGCGTCACCAGGAAACCTTCTGCTGCAGACTTGTGTCCCACACAGGTTGGCTGGGGGCTATGTCTTGAAATTGCACATTCCTGTGTATTTTTTTCAATGTGAGATCTTTTCTTTTCTTTTTTTTTTTTTTTTTTTTTTTTTAGTCTAGTTGGCCTAGTGGATTATCCTGATGATGAAGATGATGATGAAGAGGAGGAGACATCACCACGGAAAAGACCTCGTCTGGGTTCATAAATGAAACCAAAACTTTGGAAAAACAAAAAAAAACTTTTACTATGGGGTTTCAAATGCTGCAACTGTTTTAAGAGCTAAAAAGGTTCCGATTCAGAAAGCTTTCTCCCATGAGTATATAAGATAATACAAGGAGTAGCAAAAGAAACTCAGTATCAGCTAGAAAGGGTTAGTTCTGTAAACACAAAGCTTCCAAGGAACTTAATATCTTTCTAGTAAATAAGGAGTCTGCCATTCGGGCTGTCAAAAAAATTAAATTTTTTTTTTAAAAAATGTGGGTTAGTATTCACAGAACCTGGATGATGGCTTCTCAGCAAGGAAAGTCTCAGGTGTCAGGAGGGCAGGGGGAGGGAGAGGTATGGTAAACACTTTTTAAAAAATATTGCAGGGTTTCCGCAGTGTTTAACGGAACTAGGGGGGAAAAAAAAAAAAAAGAAAACCAAGCTTAAATTTTGAACCCAGTAATCTTAATTTTGTAATGGTGCTGTCAGTTGTGTTCTTTTAGCAATGCCTCTTTTAAAACAATTTTAAGGGAAAACTAACTCTGTTTGCATAAGAACAATCCAGATTTTTGGGACCATTTCTTACCAGTGAAATCGCATTTCTCATGGAGGGAGGGAGGCTGCGGTTATAGTGCATGTTGAGTTGTTTAAAAGAGTTTAATTAGTATTTTTCAAGAGGAGAAAATGGAAGCTGGATTCCAAACGGATGGTTTGGCTTGTATTTTTGATGAGAACATCTAGTAATCTGTAGGCTGAGGAGCGATGGCTTGCAGCATCTCTCCAAGGAGCTGCTTGTGTCCAGGCAGTGCTGCACGGGGCATGTGTGTGCCACTGGCTGTACCTCGAGGGAGATCCCCGGGTTGAATCACGTTCTGTGTTGTTCAGTCAGCTGCCTCCCCTCAGAGTAGCCCTTTTCCTGTTGGCGAGTTAAATTGCGTCATGGAGGTGGTGATAGGAAACACTAACAGGTTTGTCATAGTGATGAATTTAGCAGCGTTTTAACACCAAAGTCACTTTGGACCAAGGCGGAATTAGAACTAACAGAACACCGATGTTGGAAGCAGAATCAACAAGCAGCACCTGAATCTGGGCATAATACAAAAGCTGCTTTTTTTAAAAAAATAAAAGCACATTCCACATAGTAGGTAAGCAAACCGCAACCAAAATAGCTGAGTTGATGGCGAGTTGGTAGAGGCAAACAGTCCAGGTGTTATTTTCAATAGCAGCAAGTGAACTGTAAATATTTTAATGTTAGTTTGCCCATATGTGATCTGAGATCATGATGAAGTGAGAGGAAATTAATGTGTCAAGAAATGTTAAAATACGAAACCAGCTGCAATCCACCACATAGATCACTCTTGTAATATGTGTTATGGGTCCATTTCTCCTGGAATAGTTTAAACTGAAGCAGTTTCTCTGTTTTGGAGATTTTTGTAGTTAATTTTAATTTTAGCTATTGTTTGGAAAAAGATGGGCTGTCTGTGTAGATATGAAGTATAGTTTTTTCCATAAAACAGAAGTTTATTTTGTATTAAAAATACCACTGTACTTGTTTTACACCATTGTATACATGTGGTGATATTAATGCTGAACTGTAAAATTCAGGAATTAAAATGTGACCCTGTAATTCCATAATTATTGCTTTTGTTTGGTTTGTTGTACATGGTAAGTTAAACTTGGAATTTAAAATGTGGCCATTTTAGAAGCTGCTTTTTTTTTTTTTGTTAAGCTTAGTTATCTGTGCAGTTTTACCAGTTAACTGGATACCACTAGCTGCAATCTCAAAGGGAACAGGCGAGTCGTTCCCAAGGCGGAAGGCAGCTGATGGACCTGGGGACACACGGGTGCTGCCCTCGGTGGGACTCCTTGTCACAGCTCTGCCACGAGGCGCCCAGGACCCACCGAAGCATTCGTTGGAGCCCCAGCCTCGCCCATGTGCACTCGCTCTCCCGCTGACCATCACCTGGGTTTCGTGCCACGAGTCTTTTCTCACCGTCGGTAACGGGGTATGTGCCTTTGCTAACCTGAGGCTGAAAAATGGCATCACCTGGGCTGCCCATCCGTGTCGTGCTGGTGCTCCTGGGCAGACACCCCCCAGGAGCACTCTGAGGGCCTCCACCTGCAGTGGGTCTGTCTTTGCTCCGTGTTCCCCACCACCCTGGCTCTTCCCTCGAGTACTGTCAGGAGCTTTAAAAACACATCCAGACCCACAGGAGCGTTTTTTTTAAAACATGAATGTCATTAATTTTTTTTATAGTTACTAGAAAAAAAGACTGTAAAGTGGCATTAGATGTCCTGGTTAAAAAAAAGAAAACAAACTAAAATCCCTGTAGAAGGTGACACGCAGTCCCCCCACCCCGAGGCTGTTTCCCCATCTGACCTGCTTTGGGGGTGCTGCCCATGGGCAGCCCTGTCCCCCTGCCTGGGGTCCCTCTTTTGGAAAAGAAAAGAACATCTGCCAACATGTTACCAGTTATAAATGCTATTTTAATAAAAAGTTACATGAAACTTTTGCATGGGTTGGGTTGTTTCTTTTAATGCAAGTCAGGCCTGGTGTGACGTGGGGCAGAGGACAGCGCCTCTCCCTGCTGCTGTGCAACTCTCAAAGCCAAACCAGTCAACAAGACTTTAAAATATTTCTGCCCCACAGTATGTAAAACAAAGTAAAACCAGCATTAATACTTGTGTCTCGACTTCAAGCTGCATTCTGTGTTTCTCAAAATAAGATGGTCAGAGTTGCAATTCCTTGTGAAATTAGCTTTTATTTCACCGCAGAGCTGAAAAATAGTTTCTAATAAAAGGAATAAAGTTCTGCAATTTTTAAAATGAAAAAGTGAAAATTTCTAACTTCTTGACAACTGGTCAGGTAGGAATTATTTTAACAGCTCTTACTACCTGCTTTTTTTCTCTGTACTAGCAGTGGCTGAGGCCAGGGGTTAGAACACCTGTATGCTGCAGCCATGGTGAATGGCCTCACTCTTGGCCAGAGAAAGTCTGGAAAACAAGTGGGCTTAAGCATGTTTGAGTGTAATTTCAAATATTTATAAAGTACTGGTTGCTTGTCTGAAAGTTCTATAAAACTAAGTGTAATATTGGAAAACCATTTAATTACTGATTATGACTTATTCTAAAAACATACTTATGTTCTTGGGGTCTGCACGGAGCTTCTTAAAATTACCGCTTATTAATAACTTCTTCTTTTAGTTTTTCTGCAAGCATTTTCCTCTTCTGTAGTAATCTCTGCTTCTCTTCTGACATTTCCTAAAAACAAAGTGAAAAAAACACTGCAAGAAACTGCGTGGCTTCCCTGGTAGGGCCCCTGACTCGTGGCACTTGGTGCTGAATGCACGTGTGAGCCACAGCCAGGAGCCAAGGACCAGCACTGGCCAACCTGAGGCTGCAGCAGCCTCCTTCAGACTCACTCACTCTCCAGAATGATTTAACAAAGTATTATTCTGTTTCTTGAGAAGTGGGAGAATTTGAGATCCCAGTGTGTGGCTGATGGGCTCTTCCCATCTATCTGCCTTTTTTTCTGCTGGACTGTACCACTCTTTTTGGGAGGACTAACCTCAAATTCAGCTGGTACTGCTTAGTTGTTCTGGAAGTTTCCCCAATAAACAGTATTTTGGGCATGTTTTGAGCATAATAAAATGCTCAACAACTTTGAAAAAATACCAGAGGCAATAGAAGGTCCTTGATCATATGTAGATGCTCTGTAAAGAAGAGTAATGACTTTCTTTAAAAAAAAAACCAAAACAAAACAAACCCACCCATAACTTATCACATTGTTTTGTGGGGGTTTTAAGCTATTCTGGTGTCCTCATTTGTGCTGCAAGTTTTCAAACATTTCATATCCATGTAGATCAGACAGATATGAGGCAAACATATTGTCCTATTAACCATAACGATGATTAACAAAAAAAGTTGGTGTTTTTTTTCTGATAAAGACCTCTACATATCGATAGAGCTTTATCCTGTCATTGGACTCTGGGGTTATGTCTCTACTTTCTTTCCTGATAGGATTTACTACTCTTTTCCCAAACTAAGGTTCACAGTACAAGGCTTTTTGTGATTTCAGCACTTGTTTTAAGTCAAGGAACCAAACGTCCTTTGGCCAAAGAGAGACCTTGAGGGAGGGGCTGACTGCCAGCTGCAGCCCTTCTCCTCCTGTCCTGCCCCTCCAACCCTCCCTCCCCCTTGGGGTTTGCTATTGGAGGCCCCTAGGTGGGTGGCAGCAGCCCCCACCCTGCAGTGTGCCTGCTCCTTCCAAAAGGTATCCTCACCTCCCACTTCTATTCCAGTGGTTGAGGGGCAGAAATCAAGGATTTCTTCTTTTAAAATAGGCGCAAAACTCTCAAAAGATAGCAAAAGAACATAGCAAATTTGTAACCTCTATAAAAGAAGTCTTTCCAAAAGAAAAATTTTTTCCCATTAAAAAAAAAATCCCAGAGATTTCAGGGAGCCCAAGCAGTAGGTCACAGATTAGAAGAAAAACAGCATTTTACCGATTCATAAACTTGAATTAAACATGAGGATTTGATGATACTGAAGCAAAATAATACTAACTTAAATCACTAAAATGTCTAGCCTATGAGCTTCTGGAAAAACAGCAACTTGAAAATACTTCCTATTTCCCTTTTTTTTTTTTACCATGCTACAGTATTTCACAGCAATATTGACATCTTCACTGACATCATCTGTGCTTTTTAATAAAATGGTCGGGGTGATTAAAATATTTGATTCCTTCACCTCTTTAGGACACAATTCCTCTTCTTTCTGGTCAGTGTTTGTGGGTAGTGGTATGTTATTTCTTGACTCCTTCTTTGTAGCCATCAGCATGTCTCGTTTTTTCCTTAGGTAGTCCTCTCGTTGTTTCAGCTCCTGTTTTTCAAGTTCTGATAAATTCTGGAATTATTTTTAAAAATACATTTTGAAATTAATTTCTGGTATGAACATTACGTGAGACAAGAATTTGCATCTATTCTAAAACTAGAATGATGATCTGAACTTTCTGCAAATTAAACTGGTGAATACCATAAAACAGTGTTTGCATTTGCATTTTAAAAACCCCAAAAAACCCAAACAAAACACACCAAACCAAAACCGTATGATTACAGTAATACAAAAAATATATTTAAATACAATGCTGGCCCAAATATATATTCTAAATGTAACCCTGGCTTTTTGCATTCTATTTGCGGGGGTTTCTTTTTGTTTTAAACTTACAGGTCCTTTCATCACAGTTTTTTGCGCTGCATTTTCTGAACATTTTCCAGCTGACCTTTTCTTACTGTCTTCCTTCCCTTTGGTACCAGAGGGCTGAGGTAAGCTTTCTGTTCCTTTCTGTAATGGGCGTACTGGTTTTAAGTCTTCCTTCACAGACTTCTGAGATCCCCCTAAACAATAATTTCACACAGAAAACAGTGAGACAGAAATACATCAAATAAAAAAATAAGTCTGTGTTTTGTCCAATAGCCAGAAAATCATCTCTCCTTTTTATTAATAAAACTTTTAATCCGGAAACATAGATACTGTATTTGCACTAAGCAAGCAATTAAATATTACTTTACATGGTCAGTATCTCTCCTGCAGTGAATGATAATTTGTCAAACGCTTGAAATGAAATTTTGTATTTGGTGTTCTATGTTCAGTTGATACTGTCATTTCAATTTCTGTCTTGGCGAGCCGAGCTGGTGAGCAGCAGCTTCTGAGGTGCCCTTTAGACAGCTTCGAGTACACACATGCTGGTTCAGCTTTCAGCTCCAGAGAAAAGCAGAAAATACCGTATTTAAGTGAACTTGTATGGGAGCGGGGGGGAAGCAAAGCTCTGGAGATGCAACGCCTTACAGTGACCCAGCTCAGCTTTGCTCTGCAGCCAGGAGGATGCAGTGGGAACACCCCAGGTTGGCTCAGCACCCTAGGGGGGCTGGCTGGGGGTGGGGGCAGCCAGGGCACAAAGCTTACACACTTTGAGGTGTCTTCCCCTGCCTCGCATGAGGGAAGTCCCCCACCACACCCCGCTGGCCTCTGGCTTTTTTCTCAGATAAAACACCACCTGTGCTGACACAGAAAAGCAACCCTGTACTGAGTCCAGTGGTGCCTTTCAGAGCTGAGCAGGCACCCCGGGGGTTTTGCCTTGGCTGCCATGGAACTCCCTCAGGGCAAGAGGCTTTAGAGCAGCGACATTTTCAGAACCTGACTAGGACTTCTCTTGACTTGACCCACAACTACTGCTGAGTAAGGCAAGTTGCTACTTTTACTACACTTCTGTTAATAATTAAAAGGCTTTTTACTGTTAAAATATGCCTGAAAATACCCATATAGATGCAAGAAACAAAACACAAACTTCACGGTGTTTGCTCAGTTTGAGTCTATCTATAATGCCTGAGTTGATACAAGTAACTGAATGTAGCTGATGATAATTCTGCAGTACTGGACCATGGATTTTTGCTGTAATGCTGAGGAATAACTTGCTTGGGCATTAAGGTACAATTACTCTTTATGGTCTCTGCTGGACCACAGTAACAGCTGGCAAAGCTGGCTGAAGCTAGCACAGGGTGAACACCACTCGGCTCTTAAAGTAAAATACAGTTAGCTTTTCAACATTGCTGCTTTCTTTGGTATAGGAAATTACAAGATATATGACTGTGAAAGGGTAGGGATAAAAGGAAAGGAGAGGAAGTGTCATTCAAAGCACAGAAAACAAACCAGGACAGAAGTGTAAAACGAAGTTCAAGTCAAAGAATTTGCATTTCACTAAAATACATCTACTGGAAGTCTTGATGCTCCAAAGAATGTCTTTTGGTGATAGATAAAAGTTCATGGAAGTTCTGTGAGAGGTCAGAATTAAAACTGCTAGTAAAAGAAAGGCCTCATGCTATAGTTTTCCCATTAAAAAGCAGGGGAAAAACCCCCAGAACACACACTGCGTGCCAAATACCTACCCCATCACCAATATGATGACTGAGGAAAACTACTTACCAGAAAGTAGTTCTTTGAAGTGTTGTGTATTTAAATTTACGCTGTGGGTGTCGCATCAAAAACACTCAAGCTGCAGATGTTTGTGTCTTAGCAATACCTGCAGATGTGGTCACAGGACCCTCAGTGTCACTCAACCCACAAACCTGAAAAGGATAAACTGCACATCCCCACAACAACGTGCACACATGAGCACAAATTTTGAAGTAGCTGCCCTGCAGGTATCCAAAAAGGGAAGCATCGTCCAGGAATGCTGGAAAGGTCACTTGTGCTCCAAGGGGTTGAGCATGACCTTTACCGTGAAATTCCCCCTTCTGATCTCTCCATACTGCAACAAGCTGGGCAGTCAAGGTACAGGAGGAATGGTTTTGCAAGCTCTAATCTGTAAACTGATTGTAAGGAGCTCACCAAAGTGAAATTAAGACAATGAAGGCAACTACTATTAAATCTGAATTTGTTATAGAGTAGAAAACTTCAAGGGGTCCACAAACTGAAATCTTGGGTCTCAAGGTGAAGGGGAAATAGCAGAAGATAATAAATAAAACTGCTGTGTATCTGCAGGAAGGAAACTGTACAGCAGACTGGAGGGAATGAAAAACAAAGGAAAAAATTCTTTTCCCTTTTCCCGCCTCTGAGAACTGGCTGACACACGGGCTGTGCCACCCGAGAGAGGCACAAACCATTAGCAAAAGGTTCTTGCTGGTTCTGTTCCCAGAGCTGTGTCGGGCACCAAGAGGAAGCCTGTCAGGCAGAAGATAGGATCCCACTAGCTGAGCTAAACCCTGAGTGGGAAGCCCCTGTTTTGGAAGCAGGCAGTGACAGACTGGCCTGGAGCCCCCTCCTCGGTTCCGGGTGAGAAAGATGATTCCCAGTACAGATTCTTGATTTTTGCCACCACTACCCCAAAACCCACTTTTCTAAAAGGTGACAGTGGAAGATAAACTGACAAACTTTCTCAGCAGCCCCTCTGGACAGCTGTGCTGCCACGAGATGCCAGTTCTACACGGATGAAGATTTCCAAGGAGCTAAACTTTTTGTAGGCCTGTCTCTTCCTTGGCATTTAAAGAGCACGGGAACGCTCAGCACCAGCTGAGCAGGCACCCAGACAGCACAGAAGAGAGGCTGCACTCCAGGCTGAGAAGTCTGGACTCCTGAGCTGCAAGATGTCCTGTCTCTCAAGCCCAGGGTTAAATCCTGCAGCTTATTTGCAGGAATGTGCCTTCCTCCTGAACCAGGAAAACAGTCACCACAAGACAGTTGTAGTTTAGTGGTGCTGCTGCACAACTATGCAAAAATAAGAAGAGTAAAATGAGGCTGGGAAAAGAATGTGAGTATACCTGCAAGCCTTCTGATGGTAGAAGGGAGAGAAGAGTTCAAATAAATGTAACCAAATCTCAGCCAAAGGACAGAAGGGATAAAAGGGGAAAAAAGCTACTTCACAGGTCAGTGACAATTTTTTCATTTTTCTGAATCTCCTGATGTGAAAGACAGTAACTCAGTTCAAAAGAACAGAGGGTCCCACAACCACTTCATCTGCTTGTGGCCATCCAATGAAAAAGCAAGGAGACAGTGTGCCCCAAAAATGCTACCAAGACTAAAAGTACCAAGACACCAGCTCAAGTGTCTGTGATATGAAAACTTGCAGTGTGAACACATACAAGGACCAGTACGAGACACAGGAAAAATGTAACTCAAGACAGTGCAAACTATTACTCCCCAAAATCAGAATTACGTTTTTGGAAGTGGCCTTAGAATATTAAGTTACAAATTTTTCAAACTCTGAAGAGAGCAGATCCCACTAAGATACAACCTGTTTTTGAAGACCACGGGTGTATACACAGATACATACGTACCTGTAGGTGTGTGTGCCTGTATACACACTTCTATAGGCTTCTTACCACCCAAGAGTGTTCCTGCTTTCCTGAACAGACCAACACACTTGTGCTTCAGCTGCCACACAAACATACCAAGAGCACCTTCATCACAACCAGTGATTCCTTTTTTTTTCCCCTGCCTGTAAAGGCCCTGGCTTGGTCACGCTCTCCAGTAAATAATCATGCACAAAATTCAGGCAATTTTCACTACATAACTTGGGTGAACTACTTAAAAGAGCTCTCCTCGGTATTGCAAGTTGGTAGGTGTCACAATCCCACTCAAAAACAAAACCATCAAATTGAAAAGATTAATATGAGGAACAAAAATCTGCACCAAAGGCAAAACGATTCAGTTTGGTGGTCTGACAATTCGACTTGTATGAATCTTAACAGTTCAACGTTGGTTCCTTCAGAACTATTTGATTGCTATCAAGAAATGTTGTACAATTGTAGATTAAATCTGTTACGGCCACACAAGGGGAGAGAAAGCATAACTTTTAAAGTAAATGATTCATCCTTGCTTACAGGGAACATACTGTTCATAACAGTAATGGCAGCATAAGCACAGTGACTGGAAAGATGACAACTGCTGTTAGACTCCTGTATTTCTCCTCCAGTAACATCATTGAATAATAAACCAGCTCCAGTTGGAAGGCGTTTCTGCAGCCCACCCCGTGCAAACACCCTGCTCAGGGCTAACTTCAAAGCTAGGATGGTTTACTCCACAGCCTTAGCCAGCCAAGTTCTTAAAATCCTGAGACGAGCAGACTCTTCAGACATCTGAAAATAGTATTGTACTGCACACTCAGCATGGCACTTTCCCATACAATTACCTAATGGAAATTTCGGAGTTTCTTCAGAATCATCAGCTCCCCCAGTGGATTCATTAACTTTTACAGCTTCTCTTGAATCTCCTGGAAAACTGTAGGTAACATCTGGTGATTTAAGTTTATCATGTGCCTTAAATTAAAAAACAAACAAACCTGAACATTACGTTTCCCACTCCAGGCATTAAACTGTCAACACAAAGAAAACTCCCAAAAGAACTTTCAGTTAAAGTTGGTCTGTTTTCACTATATATTATGTTGTCAAAGTGAACAAAAGCAAACTACTCATTTTGTTTTACCAATAGGAAGGTTCTTACTGGCTTATAGTCATGAATCAGCATTTTTTATTTCGGTTCAAAACCTGTTCCCTTATCAAAGTTGTTTCCCAGCTACAAGTAGGGGGGGGTTGCCACGCTTTTTATGTGACTTTGAAGCAGATGTCTGTCCACCAGAAAAATACAATACAACACAAGAACCAGGAACACATATAGTGAAGTTACTGCAGAAATGGATAAACACTCAGCTGAATGAAAACAACAGGTCTGGATAATCTCTGACACTACTGTTTCAATTGCCTAGGAAATCTTGAGAATACAACCCACCTCTCAAAATAATAAAGACAGCTTGGATTCACCTGGAAAATGTCTATGCTGCTCATCAACCATCTAATTCATATCAGAAACCCCCAGTGCTCATCAAAATATTATTTTGTATTAAAACATTCTCTAACAAGAACCTATTTTTGAACTATTACTGTCACTTTCTCTGCCCATGTGAACTTGACTGGGGCCTCCATAATCCAGCTAGTTTATCAGGAATATTGATATCCTTGGCTGGGCTATAAAGATTAGGATCAGCCTGCATCTAAATACAACACAAATTCTTAAAATGAGCCAATGCTTGAATTTCCTGGTTGTTTTGTAAGAAATCCAGCAGAACAGGTGACTCATTTCCTAGAATCTATCACTGTAATACAGGAAAGAAGAGTTTTGTCACCACTTTTCTACAGTGGTTTTCTATACTGGGAGAGGTTTAATTTGGTAGCATATCCCAGGTGTTCAGGACTTGCCCTCAGTGGCTCAGCCACCACTTGCACCTATCACAGGCTGGAATTCAGCAGCAGGAGTGGTAAAGTGTCCACCTCTGCAGTAGCTACATTTGGTCTCCAGACAGTCTCCTTTGCCAGTTCAGGCTGAAGAATCAGTGCCTTCTCTTTCCAAATTCATTATGCTCAATTTCTTAATGACAGAAAAGAATAAAAAAGCAATTCTTCTCCCTTTTGGAACAGCCTACAATTCCAGCCTTTTTATTTTTTCCCGGGAAGGTTTAGTGCCACAATTCCACTGCAGCTGATTTCAAGTTCAATTTGGTTCTTACCTGCTGAAGGACTGGCCATTTAGCCAGTCCCCATTTACATTCCACTACCTTTCTACACGGTTTACCAAGTGATGGTCTAACTCGAGAGGATTTCTGCTTCCTGGTGATTAGGTTCTGGCAGTATTGTGCAGACTTAATGAGTAACTCTACTGTCTATGAAGCGATCCTCAAAATTCCTGAAGGATTATGAATGCTGTAATCTTTAAGAAGCTTATACTTTGAGATGTCTTTGATCTTGACAATGTTAGTCATTCAGATGTTCTCTGGATCTGAAAGGTTGACATCCGTTGCCAGGATTTTAGAACTCAGATACTGAAAAGGGAATATGCTTATCATATGAGGACCACCAGCTGACTGATAGCTAACGGTATTGTGTAGAGCACTGCTGTCATCTAGGAAAAACATCAACAACAGAGCAGACCTGTCAAAAAGGAGTATCAGTAAGACCTTCCTGACAGACCTTTTATTTGCTTAGGATGGGACACAGCGCCTTAAAAGGGATACAGCTGACATCCAGGACAGGAATATCAAGAGTATTTCTTAATCATCAGTATAACTCATCTGGAAAGGTAAGATACTCACTTCTTCAGTCCTTTTCTTTTCTTGCTCTATTTCATATTCTTCCTTTGATTTCCTGTAACACAAAATAGAAGTAAATACTCAAGACATCTTTAGTATTGGTGTCTTTTAGGTCAATTTAGCACTGCTTAAATATTTGAGGAATATCAAACAGTTACAGGATAAATGTGAATTTGTTAAGTGTCCAAAATAACATATAATAATGCACTCTTAATCAAAATCAGTAATTGTGATAAACACAGAGAACCCACCATCCTCAGTCCATCGTTCTCTGTGCAAAAATAATTGTGTAAGAATTTCCAGGGCTTATCTATCCCATGTTTCATTAGCTGGTTTAAAGACAGGGAGGAAAGTATTTCCAGAATACAGAGGGGAAAATAGCATAATATAACCTGAATGGATCAACTTGCTGTTGTTTAAGATTATGTTTATCTACGTTTGAACTGGGAAGAGAGGAGAATCTATAGAAGTCACATCAGTCCCCACACATCTTCTGAGGTCATAGCAACAGTCACTGACCCCAAGAAAGAAGGAAGCTGTACAAAGCATTAATGTCTACTGAAAAAGTAGAATTTTCCTTTCCAAGGGTTTCATGTTTAGGGTGTTCCCTGAATGGATTACAGCTAGTACACTCCTGTTCTCCAGAGACATCTAACCCAGGTCTAACTTCAGGTCTACCTGGAGATTCAGGGGAGAATGGGAAGGATGGGGCTGTTAAAGTTGCACATTGTTCTGTGCGTCACCAGGACAGTTCATCGTGACGGAGGGGTTATCTCGCAGTCTTTATTAAATATTCCTGATCACACCCCCTGTCTAGCACCATTCATTTTCTCTGAGGTAGGATTTTGACAAGAACATTCATGTCAGCTGTAAGATGAAGGCACTCTCCTGGAAAAGGCTGGAAGAGTTAGGCCCTACATACTTTTATTTTTTACTTTAAAATAACATACAAACTAAGACTAATTCTTTTTTTTTTACCTTAGAACCTCCCTCAGTATTTTCATTTCTTCATGTTCAATTTCACTGAATACATCAGAACCCTCTGTCAAACAGTCAGGCAACACACCTATAAAAAACACATGGCAAAATTTATGCATTACTCTCAAGTAAATTATTTGGCATCATTGTTCAGGCAGAGAGGGGAAAAATACCCCAAACAAACAGAACACCAACACCTAATTCTCTCTCTCCATAGCTGTTTGCAGAAAGATTCTAGACCTTGGGCATCAAATTGCTTGTAGCAACAAGATACAGGTTTCTGAAATAGGAAAGTTTTGACATCTAAGGCTAAAGCATAAGCCATCATATGGCATTTGCTACAGACTGCAATTCTGCCATAGCTAACCAAACCCTTATTGAATCGAGCTCTTATATCAAACTTGACATTTAAAAATTATTCTCTGGAAAAACATGCATGCTCTAAGAAGAAAAACCAAAATGGCAAAACTAAAGACATGGAAGAAAGGAGCGGGTAGATGAAAATCCTTTCAGAAACATCAACAGAGCCGACTAACTAATCTGGATCTGTGCCACACTAGACACTGCATCAAGCAGCAGGTCATTTGTTCCCTCTTTCTCTGCATTCTTCTGTTGCTCTTCCTTTTCTCACTTCAATATGTTATGGCAGGAGTAGATTATTTTCTTTTCTTTAAAATTATGCATGTATTAGTATGATGAGGGCCATAACTTCTGCTTTCTATATGGATTTTTTCATATGCAGCAGTACAGTGTGAACTGCAAAGTAAGCACAGCACATAGTACAGCATCACTGTTGTGCAAGTATCACAGTTCAAACTATCAATATTGTCGTTGTTGATGAACTGATGTAATAGTTTTAACACTCAAAATTAGCACCAAAATTCCTTAACAAAAAAAAAAAAAGTCAAGTTTCACAGTGAAATTTATACAGAAAAACAGAACTGAAAAATCAGTTCATTTTAAAAGGAATGTAGACAGCTGTCACTGAGGATACAATCAGAGGACTAAGTACTGAAATCCTAGTCCCAGTAAAATCAACTGAATGTTTTCTGTTCACTGGAACTGGAATAGAACCAGTATTCTATACTCATTAATGAACAGATTACCTAGTCATCAAAAGTTGGAGAAGTGAAACCCCACATTTACCATGTCTTACCATTTCTCTCTTTAATGATTCTAATAGCTTGCAATTGCATTTCAATATTTTTCTGTACCATCATTTTTTTAAATAGTCTAAAATCTTCTGCTGCCAACACTGTTTGCAAAATGGCCTGTGGGAGGGAAGATAGGCACAAAATTAAAACCCCTAGAGAAACATAATCATCTCAGTCTGATGGAAATTATATTAAGATTTTAATTCTGTGGAGCACGTTGTTAATGCTTCTATTTAATTCTCCTATCTGTCTCTTGTTCCAGCCATACAAGTTGCACTAATAGCCAAGAAAAGAATTTGACAGTTTGTCTTTAGATCAACAGGTCTACAATAACATCATCACAAAACCTGGAGGGTTTCCCAGTGTAAGTTTACAACTGCCATTCATTTGACTTCCTGAACAAATGCATAAGCTTGAGTGAGGCATGTGTGCTCTGAAGAAGCTTGTAACACATAGAGGAGGAGAAATGTCAACAAACCCCACTTACACTGGCAGCAGAAGCTCCTGCTCCTCTGCTCGAAGTACTTGAGACAATTCTGAAAGGTATCTTTGAGCTGGTGAAGAGCTGCCTAACCATACCTTGACTTCTCAAAGCCACTGTTTGTCTTACAGATTGTACTAGTTTTATTATAAAACCAGAACAAAACTTATTTTATGGAAGATGTCTATTCTTTTAATCTCTAAGTTTGTCTGCTACTGTAAACAGACTGAAGTCTAACATAAAGCTGATAAATACACAGACAAAGGTGGCAGAAACACCCTAAGCCTAGAGGCTTGTTTTGGAAAATACTGAGCAGACGTAATGAATCTCAAAGGTCTGACACCACAGAAGTATCTGTCATTATTTTCAATATGTGCGTACTTCTGAACTTTTTAAAGGTTCATTATATAAACACACACATTGTTTTAGAAAATTACAGTTTTAACGAGAAAACGTCTCAAAGTTTCATCTTCACCCTGCTATATTAGTGAAAATAAAGCTAAAAATTAAATCTATGCATTCCTTAACAAAGGAAAACACCTGTGAAGCGTGTGTCTTTGCAAGAGGAGAGGAAAAAGCTGCTTGGAATTTCTCTTCATTAATTCCAACTTCTTTAAGATAGTCTTCTAACAATTTTTCAACCTGTAAGAAAGTATAAGCATTACGTTCCAAGAGGTTTTTCCTTAAGAATTATATGATTTTTTTTCGTAATTGTCTATTCTTCTCTGTTGATACTGTATTTTTAAACTCAAAGGAGAATCACTGCAATAGTATAACTGTTTGTTCTGTTATGTTATGTTATTTCTAAATAACACTTATCACAGCCAATATTAGAAAATTATAAATAGCAACACATTTAGAAGTTAATCTAAATACTACTTTAATATTTTAAATTATATTTCTTTAAAATCTACCACAAATAGTGAATAATGCTTACCAGAGCTCGGTACTCCTGATAAATTTCGGTATAAGACAGCTTGCTTTCCTCTTCATCATCAAAAACTGTGGAAAAAAAAACAAACAACAAAACACACACATTTTAGAGTTGGTGTACACACCACTAATTTATGTATTAGAGAGAACGATCAACCTTTACAAGGGAATATATTTAATCATATGAAAATAGAGGCCATGCTTGATAATAGTATTTTTCCATATATTCAGGCTAAGCATGTACTTTTGATAATGTAATGTAATTAAATATCATAATTTAATAGCTGGAAAATGTACCTTCAAAACAAGCAGATTTCTAAGCAAGTTGAGGATTCAGCAGATACGTACCCTAAAAAGTAAGATTTAATGTACCTTTGTGTAAGGTTGTTCTAAGATGGCAGATGACATACATAAAGCAAGAAATTTCTCTCTCTCTCCATGTATTTATGTGAAGGATGTATTACTGACTTGATTTAATTGGTTTAAAGTGCCATTCGTTTAGCAGGAAGCCAAGGTGATACAGGAAAATGAGACCCTGCCTGCCTACAAACAGATAACCACAAAGAGGAAATATGCTGCGGGTAAGTTATTTTTCAATAGTAACTAACCTGATTTAGATAAAATGGGCACCTGCATAATATAGGCCATATTAATAATATTCATGGAAGTTTGTATGAGAACTCTTGACTGGAAATATCAAGCTAATGAGCTCTATGCTGCAGAATAGATGGAAGAAGCAGGAAAAAAAGAGAAACTGAAAACTAGGGTTTAGGGGGTTTTATTTACATTTTTTTTCTCTGTCAGCAATGAACAAGAGGTAGTGTGAAACCTAGCAATTAATGCAGAGGCTTCGAAATAAGACTTCCTCAATCCCCTTCAAGATTAGCCACTCTATGTTGGACAAGTCACTTCCCATGTGCACTCTCTGAAGTAATTTGAAGAATGGGAATTCTGCTTAAATGGGTGAATGAGTGCCATTTATTCTTCCTATATATGACATCTCTGACAAAAGACGGTACTGATGCATAGAATCAGTGTAATTTTCACAGACATTTAAGAGTGGCTTTTAGAAAGCATCATTTCCCACCCATAACAGCCCTGAGGCTGTATCACTGAACCTTGATAAGGTGTGGTGCAAGATGGCTGTGCCTGAAACAGAAAGTACTCCCATCACTTTCTAACAATTTACAGCAAGGTAAAGCCAGACATTTAACCAAACAGTTCAGGCCCTGTAAATAAGCAAAGGAACCTTGCTTTTTAAATGACATCATCTGGAAAACCAGCATCTGCTTTTGTTTAATTTTTGCACAAGGGAATTTTTTGTGATGAAGGGGTTGAAAATAAAAAAAAAAAAAAATTAAAAATATTTAGGAATAAATTTAAATGGTAGAAAAAGTACTAAAGTCTTACTCTAAAAATAATGCAGCTTCTATGGCAACCATCCTATTACCAAACCCAAGAGGGTGAAGACACTCTATTGTCTTCTGCATCTCGCAGACCCCAACCTTTGTCTTGGCTTCTCTGTTCCTTCCCCCCTTCTACTACTCCTTCCTGCCCTGGGCACCTGAAGGAGGGTGACACAGGGCTGTCACTCCTCAGGCAGTGTCTGTGCCGACAGGTAGCCTCACGCTGCCAAGGGGATGCTTCCAAACCCTCCCCCTCCTCCTCCTCCCACAGCTGCAGGGCAACACAGAAAGCAGAGTGGAAAGCCTGCACAAACTGCTCTCTGTTTGCAGGCTCTGAACAAAAAAGAGGCTGAAGTGCAGTGCCAAATCAAGCAAGCTGCAGTCAGCATCTCCTCTGAGTGGCATTAAGGAGTACTTTGACTGGAGACCTTGGATTTTCTTGAGTCAGGGCTCCTAAATCATGACACCATTATTTTCCCTAAGATTTTAGCACAGGGTCTTTGGTCGCCCGACAGAACAAAGATCTAAAGAACCACTGTATCAAGATAAACCAAGGGACCCAGATATGCCAGGAGACAAACGCATCACTTTTCTGTTAAAATTGAAATCTTTGCTATGACTCCTCAGATGGGATGAGCACTAAGTCAAGTTTAAGTTCTCCCTGCTAGACTGACTCCTTTGACCTCACGGACAAGATCTGGTAAGCAAATCTGAAGGAATTCTTCCCTTTCTTGCCCAGCCCTCACTGACTGAGGAGGCAACTCTGTGCTGGGAGGGAAGGGAGTCACAGGCAACAATACCTGTTTATTCCTTTTTTTGTCCTTATCTTCTGGTGCTCAGAACTATTATCAAGCTTATCTATGTTCACATAATGTTTCAATTAATACCTTGGAAGAGCTGAATAAAACTGAAAAGCCCTCTCGACTGAAATACATACCTACAGATTTATGTTCAGTTTCACAGCCATATAAAAGGAAATCAATCCAGCCATGAGAAATTAATCAAGTTAATTAGAAGAAGAAAGGAGAGAGAGAAAGCAAACAACTATCAACAGAGAGAAAACCATTAGGACGGTTTATAAGTTGAAGTGCAGGGACTTGGCCTAAATAACTACTGTTCCAAATAAATTCCTTGCATACCAATTACCAAAACTCAGGTTCTTTTTGAGGAATCACTAATTATTGTAAATTAATCGAAATGTTGCTAATTTGCTTGTTCAGCCCAAAGACTGAATGTTTTGAGAACAGAAAGAATTCTATCCTGACAAAATGTCTCAGTCAAAAAAGCAGCAATGCAACCCGGACAGGTTCTAGGTTTCCTTCTAGAAAGGAAAAGGCAGTAGCGCAGGTATCTGCAACTAAAACTTCACATTTCTCTAACTGTGCTTCTTAGCAACACTAGCACTGTGGTAACACCACTTCTTTAGGCTTTTCTTTTTCCCAGTAGCTTCTGAGAGTTGTCAAATAGCAGCACCCTGTACCACAAATGGTACCTTGGAAGATCATTTCCTGCAAGTGATTTCTTTTCTTTGTGTCTCCAATTTTTTTATGTACAAACTAACGGGCAGGAAGGGACCATTACATAAACCTGCCTCTCACTACATGGAAATTTACAGAGGTTTCCTAAATCTTCTTACTGCCAGTAAATTCCCCTCAACCTTCTAAAGAAGAGATCATTGCTTCAGAGAAGGATAATCAACTCCCCCAGTTCCTAAACCTAGACCTTTTGCATGATACTCAAAAGGCTTGACCGACCTCAGGTTTTGGCAGACGTCCTGAGTGAAAACTTCTACTTTAGATTTCTCTGCTGCTTCCTAGCTGTAAAGAGTCTATCAGCTTTACCTTTCTCATTCTCATTTCCAGGTATACTAGGTAAAGGCGTACATACTCACGATGATCTTGCCTCATGCAAAGCTTGGGAAGTGTGGAAATGATTCAGGGTAACTGAGAAGCAACTTGTGTAAAAGCTGTGATCTGAATCGGGGGGCATCTCTTTAACTGAATATGAAGTCAAAATTCTGCACGGGGCCTAACAAGAACAACTGCACATGGAAAGATACGGCCAGCCCCACAGAGGCCAACCAGTACAGAAGCTGTTCTGGAACCCGCAGTGGGATGGAGGGGAGGAAGGAGTAAGCACAAGCAGGTGGAATACTAAGTAAGAACCATTCTACTTTGAGCTTGATGTTAGTAAGTCCCTAGAAATAAAATTGATTTGGAAGCTTTAGTTTTGTGACTTTGGTATATTAAAGTTCAAATTATTAATTAATCATTTATTATTAATAATAATTATTATTATAGCAGCCATAAAAGGTTATCATAAATAACTTTGCAGCAACCATGCTTTGTCATGTGTGAACGTCTGGAGGCTGGATAGGATCACCAGCCATCACATTCTCAAACATTTTTTTTTTCCAATAATCACAAAAGAAATCTTCCTTTTTTTCTCAAGGACTTAGGCAGTGCTTTCAGACTTGCCCAAATCCTAACTAGTTTGCTCCCCAAAAGGATCCAGGTGCTCTTTGGCAGCAGGAAATTTGTTCTGTAAGTAGCAGAACTCATTTAGCCAAATCTCTGCTGCGGAAAGTCTGTCTCCTCTTTTCCTCACTCTGTACCTACAGCCATAGAGGTCTCCTCTGGCACCTTCCCATGGAGCTACACTTCCAGTTTACCCAGGCTCTTCCCCAAATTATTCCACAGTTCCCTCAGTTCTTTCTTGAGGAAGAAAAGAAAGTTTAAGTAGAATTGCTTCCAGGCTAAACTCATGCACAAAACGTAACTGGTAACTGTTTACTTTTTAGTGCTATCATTTTTTGTGAGGTCCTAATTTACTGTTTCTCACCTCATAAGTGACAACGTTCACAAAATGGCGGGAATTTACTCTGAGGGTCCAACTCTTCTGTCCTACTGGGCAGAGAGCGATCTCAGCTCTACCGTCCGCCTGCCCAAGGAAAGCCACCTGCCTGCGGGGAAGTATTAACGGCCTCCCGGGGGGGAATTAGAGGCAGCAGGACGCAGCACTCGTTTAGGTGTCACACTGTAAGCTCATGCCCTAATCCCCTGGACGAGCTGAGGAAGGCAAACCGCCACAGCCTGGCGCAGGGCTGGCTCAGGGGAGCCCGGCTTTCCGCGGGCGGGGCACCCCCTCCCCAAAACCCAACAGCGGCCCGACCCGCCAAGCGCCCACTGCCCGCACAGTATCCCTGGACCGGTGGGGGACACGACACGGACCCCCAGGCGGCGGCGGACACGGACGCACACACACACGCACCCGCACACACGCACGGGACACACACACACG